GGTGCCCAGCACAACGCCCAGCTATGTTTTTTTGTTGCAGGCATCATTGTTGTTTAGTAGGCCTGGGCCGGGTTCAAATCCACCTGTCTGGTGCATATGGCTGGCTCCCTACCCACTGAGCTACGGGCGCCGACCTATGTCACAGACATTTTTAATCACTACAGTTGTCCCCTCTTATCTGCAATTTCTCTTTCTGTGGTTTTAGTTACCTGAGGTCAATCATAGTCCAAAGATATTATGCTATTTTGGGAGGGGGGCACCACATTCCCATAACTTTTATTGCAGTATGTTATTATAATTGTTCTATTTTATTATTAGTTATTGTTGTCAATCTCTTACTGTCCCTAATTTATAAATTAAATGTTATCATAGGTGTGTTGTACCTCATAGGGGAAAATATAGTTCATATATATATTTAGGGTTTGGCACTATCTGTGGTTTCAGGCATCCATTGGAGGTCTTGGAACATATCCCCAGAATAAGACGGGACTATATTGGTTTTTAAATTTATTTGCAGGCTGGCTCATGACTGTAATCCTAGCACTCTGGGAGGCTGAGTTGGGTGGATCCCTTGCGCTCAGAAGTTCTATACCACCCTAAGTAAGAATGAGACCCCACCTTTCCTAAAAAACAGAAAAGGTAGCCAGGCATTATGGCGGGTGCCTGTAGCTACTTGGGAGGCTGAGGCAGGAGGATGACTTGAGCCCAGGAGTCTGAGGTTGCTGTGAGCCAGGCTGATGCCACAGCACACTAGCCCCGGTGACAGAGCAAGACTCTGTCTCGACAACTAAAATTCATTTGAAAACAGTAATTTGACAAAATAAAAGCAAATTAAAAACAATCGCATTACAGATAAAAAGGAAGCCCAAAGGAGGGAGCATCAGAGAATGAGAGTTTCTGAGAAGGCTGCTCAGGGCAGGTGATGCTTAAACCTGTTGGAGGTGAAGAGAGGGAGAGCAGCCTGTGCAAAGGCCATGGGGCACCGGTGATGCTCAGACATCAAGATGCTTTAGACCGAGAGGAAGGGGCAAGTGGGAGGAGATACAAGCAGAGACAGACCCTATCTAGGGCCCTTAGACCACGGCAGGGACTGTGAATTTTACTTGATGAGAGTAAGTGGCCATTGGAGGGTCTCAAGAAGGCAACTGTTGGGGCTTCCATTTGTAACAGACTCATGCTCCCTGCTGAGTAGGAGGTGAGGGTGGATGCAGGAGAATGACAAGAGCTGTAGGGGAGGCAAAGTTTTGTCCTCTACCCTCTTAGTATTTCCGGCTGGACCTAAGAATTAAACTGACACAAGACAGACTAACAGGAAAAAAACATACAAATTTATTTAGATGTACACGGGACACTTCCACCTCTCAACGAACTACAACAAAGTCCCAAAGAACTGACTAGGCTTATGTGTTTATATACTGAGTTGAACAAAGAATGATGATTGTGTAACCAAAAAGGTGAGTTCAAAAAGCTTGTTTGTACAGGTCTATCTTGGCCTTAATCCCTGCCTTTGGTAATGAGCATGTCTTTCTTCCTCCACTTGGCATTCTACCTCCTGCTTTCAGGAGGAAAAGGGAAGGTCAGAGAATCCTTCTTATGCCCCAATGTTGTCCAAGTGCCTTTAGTTTAAAAAAAAAGATTTGCCAAAATGGAATATTTTGGAGCGAACATCCTGAACTCCAGGGGATGGAATGGATGGGTTAGAGGCCAGAACTCCAGGTAGAGGCAGCGAGGCTTGGTAGGGGGAGGCGGGACCAGCTGACAAGCATTCCTTCATTTAACCTTTAGCAGAAGGACCCCTGGGGCTACGTGGTAATGTGGGTACCTGAAGAAGAAAACTGCAGTTTGGAGAGGGGTTCACAAAGTAACACTGCTTGACTGGGGTGGGGGTGGAGCTGGGGCTGGTGCTCCCTCCTCAGAGCCCAGCTACAGCTCATGAACTCATACATAGGGGAGACAGAGGCCTGGAGGGAGGCTTTGCTGGGGCATAGGGCAGGTGGAGAGATCAGGTGGGTTTGGGGTGGCAGTGAGGTCCTACTGTGTGCTGCTGCAGCCAGAGTGGCAGCCCCAGGACAATTCAATTCCTAGTTCTCTGAGGGCCTGCTATGTGACAGCCCTGGGTACCTGGTGACAAAGTAAGTCTAGCCCTGATCCCAAGGAATGGCCAACTAAGGAAAGGGGCCTAGTTGGTGCCTGGCACATAGCAGGTGCTTTTAGCAAAGACTCATTTCGTTTTCCCTCTCTTCTCTGACTGCTGTTTCCTTTGCCCTCCTGAGACGGGGGTCAGTACAGGCCGGGACACGGCATCCAAAGGCAGCCAGGCCTGTGGTCAGGCCCCAGGGCAGGGTGTCTCAGATGCAGGTAGGCAGATAGGGCCCACTGGTTATTTTTCAACAGCCTACAAGCTGAGAACGGTTTTTATAGATGACCATTTGCAATTGATTTGATGGTAGGAAACACTAACCCTGAATTTTAATTAACCAAAATGTCATCCCCCAAGAGAATTCTATTCTTCTCGTGCACAGATCTGTATCACAAAACATTGTACTCAATTATTCTTATACTTTGAATTTTGTCAGTTAAAAGCAGTGGAGATTTTTTTTCCCTCACTGCATAATGTCTTAAATTTTGACTCTCAGCCCTCAAAGCCTAAAATGTTTATTTTTTACCCTGTCCTTCTGCTCCTCACCCTCCCTGGCCCTCTCCACATTCAACAATCCTAGGACTAATGACCCCCATCTGGCCTCCCCCATGGCCAGTGTCACACAGGCGAGCCTGGCTGCAGGGCAGGACTGTGGACTCCCAGCCCACTGCTCGCCTGTGCTCTCAGCTCTCCTGTCAGCACTGGCTAACCCACACCCCACCTGGCCCGGGGACACAGCTGTCGCCTGGGGGACATATGCTGTGGTGGCCTGGGGGAGCTCAGGCTAAGGGGCTGGCGGACCCTGAGCACCACATTCTTATCTCCAACTCCCTGCGGGAGCCAAGGCCAACGTGGGTGGCTGAAATCTCCTCGGTAACAGGGTCTGCCCTCCTCCTGCTCCCTCTCCCGGCCTCCTTCCCAACCTTCATCCCCTCACCGCTGCACCTGCTCTCGGCCCTCTGGCCCTTGGCCCCTCCTCCCGCCTCTCCCATGCACCCCCTCCTTCGCTGGCTCCGTGTCACCATCTGTGGCACAGTCCCTCTCTGTCACTCTCCTTGCCACCCCCTCATTCTCCTTCCTCCCTCTCGCTCTCCATCCCTGCCTCTCTGCATCTCTTCCTCTCTCTCCTTTTTCCTCCTCCTTGTCCTCTCCCTGTCAGCATCTCTCTCACTCCCCCTCATTCTGCCTTGCCACCCACTCACCGTCTCCTCTCTCCTTCTTTCTTTCTCTCTCCCTCCCCCACCTCAGAACAACCCCCTTTCCCCTCTACTCCTATTGGGTTCTACGACCCCTGTTCTCCTCTTTTCTTCTTCACCTTGGGAAGCTTCTCCCCCAACCCCCTCCCCTTCGGGGACCCTGACTGCAGAGCCCCTATCTGTGTCCCTGCCCCTCAGGATGTGTTCTGGAGATGGGGGATGATGCATCAGGCACCGCTGGGAAGTCAAGGCCAGAGACCAGATGGGAGAGGCGCTGTGGGCAGACGTGGCCGCCAAAGGCCTGGGAGGGGCCTTAGCCCACAAGCGGTCTAGAAATGGGTGCCATGTGGGTACCCTGGCTAGGGGTGCTCTGGGAGCACCTGGGTTCTGGGCAGGGAGGGGGACAACAGAATGGTAACCACCCTGGCGGCAAGGAGGGGAACCCTCACCCTATGGGCAGGTAAGGCGGCTGGGGCCCGGGTGGGGTCCTGGAGGGTGGGGTGCTGAAGCCCCTCCTCTGCCCATCATGAACTTGGGAGGCTGGGGCTGGGGGCTAGCAGCAGGTGAGAAGTCCCAGGGAGGAAGGAGGAGGCCTTCTTTTTCTTGGAGGGCTGCAGGGGCAGGGGTATTAATCTGAGAATCTTGGAATCGCAGAACAGCAGAATGTCAGAGCTGGAAGAAACCAGATGCATCACAGCATTTGGCCTCAGCTCACATGGCAGCTCTCCCGAGCTCCCCCTCCACACTGGGCCGGGGTGCTCAGCACACTCCCATTAACCTTTACAACGCCCCTGGAGGTGAGTACGCTGGTCATCATTTTAACAGGAAGAAACTGAGGTCCATGGGGGAAGAATTGACTTGTCCAAGGTCACATAGCAATGTGGCATCCTTGCTCTGTGGCAAATCGTAGGGTATGTTCTTGGGCCGACCCCAGGCTGAGAGCAGGAGTGCATCAGTCGGCATTGACCAGTGTGAGCCAAGGCTCTCTGGGTGAAGGACAAGCAGATGCAAAGACTGCCAGGAGCCCTCAGCCTGCATCGTCAGGGCGGTCCCAGGCCCTGGTTCCTCTCAGCCTGGGGCCTGTGAAGAAGCCAGCATGGTTAGGAGAAACCAATGGTTTAGGAGTAGACAGAACAGGGTTCAAATTCTACCTTCCCACTCCCCAGCTGGGTGACCTTGTGCAAGTTACTTAACCTCTCTGAGCAGCAACTTCCTTCTCTCTAAAACCCTCCTGCGCTCTGTGGGGATTTTCATAGTGAGTTTGAAGCCTCCACCTTGGAACCATGTCCCACCTTGGAGCTCTACTCTCTGATCTGGTTGGTTGGTCACATTTACAGGTGTTATGTGTGGCATGCTAGGTGCTGGGGTTAAAGAAATAGATCATTCAGGGTCCCTGCTTCCAAGAGCCAGCATTCCAGGGGGTGAGAGACAGGCAAATGGAGAGCTGTTGGGGGTGACTGGCATCCCTGAGGGCCCGGCTGTAATTGCTGTGGGGCTCAGGGAAGCCACTTACCCTCTCTGTGCTCTGTCCCTGCCAGTACAGTCCTCTGAGGAGTCCGCCCCCAGCTTTCAGGCAAGCTTGTGCCAAAGATAAACCAGACAGGGAGGAAAAGTCCCTCCTTCCCGAGGATGAACTAGATTATGCACAGGATTCCAGCTCCTTAAAGAAAAGACGGCACCTAAATTGCAGGTCTGGCTTAAGCGCGTGGAAAGCTGTAATTCCCCTGTGCTGGGCATCCTGGCTTCTAAGACCCTGGCAGGAAAGACAGGCTGAGAGGAGGGCGGAGGCCGGGAGTCTTCCACGGGTGTCAGGGGTTCTGGGAGGGGCCATTTCAAGCTTTGGTACAAAGGAGGGACTGGCCGGGTACGTTGTGTTCCTGCCAGGGCTGTGTGTATGTCGGCATGCATGCTTGTGCGTGTGGATGCACACATGTGTGCAGGGCAGGGGATGGGGGTGGGCTGGAGTCAGAGCTCTCTCTAGGGCTTCCCCGGGGATAGCTGTCCAGCTCCCTGCCCCTCTCTGGAGCCTGAAGCTTCTCCCTGCCCCCTATCCTCAAGCCCCAGGATGTTGTATAGAGAATCTGCACATAGCACAGGGTCGGACAAGGCAAGCTGGAGGGTGTCGTGGGTCCCTGGCTGAGGAAAGAAGCAGGATTCTAAGGTCCCAGGTTCCACAATTCTGGGTCTAAGAAGGACTGCTTCCCGCATTTTAGAATTCTAACCTTCTCTGATTCAAGGACACTGAGTCTAAAAATCTGACGCTGAGATTCTGACTGTTCTAACAACTTAAAATTCTGTTTCTCTGTATCTAAGAGTGTGAGGCTTTGGGTCTATGATCCTAACAGCGCAAAAGCCCAGGGAGAAGTGGGGCTGGCTCCAGCTGGGCTCCTGAGTGAATGCCTTCCTAGGCCTGGCCTCAGTTTGCCACCCTTAAGGAACTGGTGGGGAGGCAGGGAATGGTCATTAAGGGTCATCTCAGATTTGCCCCTTCCTAGATGTGTGACCAGAGCGTATGGCCTCCCCTTTGTTGCTATGCAGTAGGATGAGAGTAGCACCTCCCTCCTAGGACACAAAATGAGCTAAGCATGTCGCCAGCTCAGCTTAGAACCTGGCACAGTTGCCCCCTGCCCCAATCTAGGTTCATAGCCAACATTCCTAAACAGGGCCTTTGGGAGGGTATAGTAGGATTCCTAAGGCTGAGGGGGTTCCTGAGGGCTCTCCCTCCTGGAGGAGGGGACCCCCTGAGCCTGGGGTTCTTAACTCTATTTTAAATCTGATACAAGCTCTGAGCTCAGCCCAGAAATGACACAGACACCGTAATGTTCTCCTAGAGTTTCACGGTCCTCTGAAGTTCCTCTAGGCACCTGGGTTCCAAGTTAAGGACCTATGAGGCTGAGGCCTGCTGGTGGGCAGTGCAGTCCATGTAGTGGGGCTCTGCCTGCTGAGGCATGATACGTAGAAAGGGCAGGTATTACTTTATGAACAAATATAACTTCCTGTCCCACATCACACTCTTGCTACATGATACAGTGGTCATTTCACCTCCCTGAGATGCAGTTTCCACATCTGAGAAATGCGGACAGCATCCCCTAGTCTTGCTAGGCTGTGCAGAGGAACTGAATGGGGGCATACCAAGCCTGATCTGGGGTACAGTAGGTCTCCAAGTTCAGTGAGATGGGGGAGGGGCAGCACAGAGAAAGCCATCCTCTGTTGTGACTGGGCTGTGTCCTCCCTTCCCCAGGCTAGTGGCTGACTGCTGACCATATTCGGCCATGGATACCTCTGGCTCTCCTTCATCGGTGCCCATGACCTCAGAACCTGAGAATGACTCCTTGGCTTGGCCCCTGAATGCCACCCTGGGAAACGTGTCGGCAGGCCTGAGCCCAGCAGGGCTGGCCGTCAGTGGCATTTTGATCCCACTGGTCTACCTGGTGGTGTGTGTAGTGGGCCTGCTGGGCAACTCACTGGTCATCTACGTGGTCCTGCGGCACACGGCCAGCCCGTCGGTCACCAATGTCTACATCCTCAACCTGGCGCTGGCTGATGAGCTCTTCATGCTGGGACTGCCCTTCCTGGCTGCCCAGAATGCTCTGTCCTACTGGCCCTTTGGCTCCCTCATGTGCCGCCTGGTTATGGCTGTGGATGGTATCAACCAGTTCACAAGCATCTTCTGTCTCACCGTCATGAGCGTGGACCGCTACCTGGCCGTGGTGCACCCCACCCGCTCAGCTCGTTGGCGCACAGCGCCTGTGGCCCGCACAGTCAGTGCGGCCGTCTGGGTGGCCTCAGCTGTGGTGGTGCTGCCCGTGGTGGTCTTCTCGGGTGTACCCCGTGGCATGAGCACCTGTCACATGCAGTGGCCTGAGCCAGCAGCAGCCTGGAGAACTGGCTTCATCATCTACACAGCCGCACTGGGCTTCTTTGGGCCGCTGCTGGTCATCTGCCTCTGCTACCTGCTCATTGTGGTGAAGGTGCGCTCTGCGGGGCGGCGGGTGTGGGCACCCTCATGCCAGCGGCGACGGCACTCTGAGCGCAGGGTCACACGCATGGTGGTGGCCGTGGTGGCACTCTTCGTCCTCTGCTGGATGCCCTTCTATGTGCTCAACATTGTCAACGTGGTGTGCCCGCTGCCCGAGGAGCCCGCCTTCTTCGGCCTCTACTTCCTCGTGGTGGCACTGCCTTATGCCAATAGCTGTGCCAACCCCATCCTTTACGGCTTCCTCTCCTACCGCTTCAAGCAGGGCTTCCGCAGGATCTTGCTACGGCCTTCCCGCCGCGTACGCAGCCAGGAGCCCACTGCGGGGCCTCCAGAGAAGACGGAGGAGGAGGAGGAGGATGAGGATGGGGAGGAGAGTGGGATGCAAGGGAAGGGGAAGGAGAGGAATAGCCGGGTCAGCCAGATCACACAGCCTGGCACCAGTGGGCAGGAGCGGCCGCCCAGCAGAGCTACTGGCAAGGAGCGGCAGTTCCTGCCCCAGGAGCCCTCAGCTGGGGAGAAGCCCAGCAAGCTGCACATTAGCTACCTGTAGGGGCAGGGGAGGGCCAGTGTGGCCCAAGGAAGAAGCAGAGGCCGTGGGTGTGGCTGGGGCAGGCTGCGCGAGGTGCTGGAGACCCACGATGGGATGTTCTCCCCCTGCTGCAGGACTTGCTATAGGACTTGCTGTGTGACCTCGGGTAGGTCACTTCTCCTCTCTGGACCTCATTTCCTCCTCTGTGACTCAGGGATAGGCATGATCAGCCTGGATGAATTCTTGTCAGGCAAGAGGTCTGGTGGTCATTGCTACTGGGCTGACCTTGCTGAGCAGGGCCTAGATTAAAGGCTGAGAGCAGACCGGCCTTCCTCTCAGAGATGGTGCATCCTGGGGCACAAGCCTAAATCTTGGCCCTTGGGGATAAACAAAGGCCTGGATTTCCTTGGCTCAGGATTGGGGACATGGGAGATGCTGGAGGCTGGGCTGGATGCCCAGTGGAAGAAAGTCTAGCCTGGTAGGAGGAGGAGTAGAAGGACTCAGGCTGCAGGTCAGCGCAGCCCCACCAGCTGTGCCACCTCAGGCCACCTGCTCTCCTCTCTAGTTGTCCTCTGCTGGATGCTCAGTGACCTCCAGGCCTTTTTGGCCCAGATGGTCAGAGCTGGAGCTCCTGTGCTCCTGGACGTAGGAAGAGCTGAATTTTCTAGAAAGCCAATTATGTCCAGCTTCAAGGGCCCTTACTCCCTGGGCCCTTTTGAGGCCCTGCATCTAATTTTGTTCTTGTCATTTTGTATTCCTTTTCTTAAAGAGGAACCCCAAACTGAATAAGCCTTGGCCACCCAGAGCCTGGCTTGGGGCCCTGTTGACATCAGCCCCCTGATCCTTAAGGCAGTTTGTTTGGGTCTTGTGGCTGATGTTGGGGTGGGGGAATCCCCGGGTCTTTGAAGGCTTCGAGGAGCCTCCTCATAGAGGGACCTGCCCTGTTTATCTCCTTGAGACCTATCTCTTACCATTTTGGAGATGCAGGCAGAGACCCAACCCACGCATAAAAAAGCAGAGGGTCTGAATAGCACTGTGTAGAAGGAAGGAGGGGGGGAGGAAGATGAGGAGGAGGAAGAGGAAGAGAGGGAAAAGAAGCAGGAGGGAGGATGATGACAGACCTGTTTCTTGGCTCTGTCTTCAGTCCCTATGGGCTGAGTGCAGTTGCAGCATCTATGAACCAAAGTCACCAGTGCCTGGCTAGACTAACACCAAGGGAAGACTGTGCAATGGAGTGGGTGAGAAAATGCACAGGCACCAGCCCCTTGAAAACCTGAGAGCGCCAGAAAGAAGTGTTCAGGCCTTGATAGAGGCCACGTTGGAAGGAGTGGTGATTCTCCTCACAGGTGGAAGAACAGGCCCTCCATCCTCTATATTTCTGGGGGTTGCAAGTGGAATAGAGGAATAGAGACAAGGTGGGGCTGGAGTGGGACCATAGGAAGCAGCTACTGTCCAAGGCTGGGCCTGGACTTCCCAAAGACATCCCCCTTCCAGCCCTCCACCCCCAACACCCCACAGAGGGCAGGTCCTCAGGGAAAGCACCTGTCTCAGGGCCTGTGGCTAACCTTGGCCTCCCATCATAAGATGGAGGTGGTTGTTTCAGCTTGTCTGCCTCCTGGGACTTGAGACAAATGAGTCATGCTAGGTACATTGTCAGGCTCACTGCAATGGGTGCTCTCCCCACCCCCGGGCTCCGTCCACCCTCCCCATTCATCACGTGGCCTCTGTCTCCAGTCCTTGGGGTGTGGGCACTGCAGACCATGAGAAATGGGGTGTTGGTATTAGAGGCAAAGGGGCAGGGGAAGGATGTTCACAAAACCAGATATTCCATGGAGACAGAGGTCTAGAGGCCCAGCTCTGGGTTCTCCGGGGGAGGATCTAAGGGAGAGGGACACCTTCTCTGGGTGACCCTGTCTTCTTGGCTCCTGGGGCAGGTGAGCAATGTCCTGCAAGCATAGCTGGGAGGCCATTAGGAAATCCTTTGCTGCTTCTTCCCCTAGCTCTTATTAATAAAGATGGTGAACCATGACAACATGTGTCCTGGGCCAATCCCTCCTCCAGATGCTGTGGGTACAGATGGGTATGAATGTGCAGGTGTGTGTGGCTCCGTACACCCTGGCCTCTTCATGTGTGGCCTCCCAGAGTCTAGGACCTTCAGGGGGCATGGAAGATACCCTTGACAGGCCTAGACCTACATCCTTACAGATCTTGATCCAAAGCAGTACATTCCTTCTTCCCTATAATCTAAATATCAAGTCTTATGGAAGAAAGCAGATTGGCTCCAACTCCATCACATAACAGTCTCTTGGGCCAATCACTAAAGATAAGACAATCAAGTGCCATGATTGGCTAGACATGGGTCATGTGCCTATACTCCCTGCCAGAAAAAAGGTAGGGCACTGAGATGGAGAGTCTGGCCCAGCCAGTTGGGTAGGGATGGTAGCCCATCTACAGCCTGAGGAGGTGGGCCAGGCAGCAGCACAGCAGTCTGGGTGTGTGGAAGGCTCACTGAGTGGGGCTGCCTTTGCTGGGTGTGATCATGTGTGTGAAGGTTTGTGTGAGCACAGTGCAGGGTGCACAGGAGGAGCTCAGGACATCTCAGCCATTTCCATGAATGAATGTACACTGGGGCATCACACGTGGCAGGGGGTACATGGGCCGGGAGCAGAGGAACTGGTGGTGCCTGAGTATGATATGGGAGTGGCTTCCTGGGCCAGGGTCCCTCCATGGGCTCTTACAGCCCTGGCTCCCCTGCCACACTGGGTGTCTCTGCCTCGCCATGCTCACATGGACAAACATGTATAGATGTCTTTGTCCCCCCCACATGTATGTCTGATAGCCTTGTCCCTCCTAGGGCAGGTCCTATGCCTGATGCCTCTGATTCTAGGGCCCAGCTGTACTGACGTGAGCTCTTCTGATGAGTATCTGGAATGAATGAACAAAGGGGGCCGCTGCATTTCACAATTTCAGGGATACTCGTCACACTGTGACTCCAGCCTCCTTTGAAATTGTGCAATGAGATGGTTCTGAGTAAATGAAAGTGGGAGGATGGAGAGCTGATGGAGCTTGTATTGGGGTTCAGGGCTAGAATCTGTGAGTTAGGAGTGCCTCGGGGGCTGTAGGGTGAGGAAGGCTCTGTGGTTGTGAGCTTCAGCAGGGAGGGAGGGGTGATAACAACCTACCTTGTCTAACTCCTCTTCTTTAGCCATCGAAGTTGGTTGCTCAGACCCAAGTCCTTACCTTGAACTTGTCTCTCAGAGGTGGTTGCCAGGCAACAGTGCATGGCCACCAGGCTCTGGACCAGGACTGTGTGTTAACATGGCATTATCAGGAAGGAGCTGGGAGGCTGCAGGGCCTGGAGCAGGGAAAGCGAAGGCCCCCAGATCTTTGTGATCCTCTTCACCTAGAAGGGGTGGGGAGATGGAAGCCAGTGTCCAAGGGAGGTGACAGCCTGGGCTCCACAGGACTCCAGACAGAAGAAATGCAGCAAGAACCCCAGGCTATAATGCAGGAGGCACTGGCCTAGAGTTGTGCAAGGCCATCATCCCTGTCAATGGTAGGCCCTGGTGGGAATTGCAGTGAGTCTGCTGGAAGGCGAAGGGGAAATGCATCCCCTAAACATCATGGGACCCCATGTCAGGAGACCCAGGCCCTGCCACAAGCCTACTTTGTGGTCTTGGACGATTTGTTTCTCCTCTCTGGGCGCGCTTCATTTCATTAACAAAGGCTTTTCTGAGCACCAGCTCCATGCACAGCTCTGCCACTGGCTGTGGGTACAGTGGAGGCAATAACACTGTTCCCGTGCTCATAGTGTTTGGTGAATGTGTTACTATTTGCTGAGCTCACTGGAGAGGAGGTGCAGTGTGCTCTGGGAGAACATAATGGGGGTTGGTGGGGCTGCAGTACCAGGCATAGGGACCTGCAGGTGTTAAGATCCTGAGCATAGAGGGATCCAGGGAGTGAAGGGAGAAGGTAGCAATGAGGTACCATTCAGGGACAGGGTGCTAATTCCTCTTAAGGGCTGAATTTTGCCTCCCCACCCCACCCCCATTCATAGGTTGAAGTTCTAACTCTAAGTACCTGGGAATATGATCTTATTTAGAAATCAGGTCATTGCAGATGTAGGTAGTCAAGATGAGGTCATACCAGAGTAGAGACAGCCCCTAGTCCAACATGACTAGTGTCCTTTAAAAAGGGGAGATTTGGACATAGACAGGCACAGAGGGAGATATCATGTGAACGTGAAGGTGAAGATCAGAGCAATGCTTTTGCAAGCCAAGGACGCCAGGCAGAGATGCCAAGGATTGCCAGAAAACAAGTAGAAGCCAGGAGAGAGTTCTGGAACAGGTCCTTCCCTCATAGCCCTCAGGAGGAAGCAACCCTGCTGAGGCCTTGATCTTAGACTTCAGCCTCCAGAGCTGTCAGGATAAGTTTCAGCTGTTTAAGTCACTCAGTTTGTGGTACTTTGTTAAGCTGCCCTCAAAAAACACAACCCCCCACCTGCAAATCAGATGTAACAGCCCCTCCTGGGAGGGGGAGGAGGACCTGCTGAATTAACTCTTTCATTCCTTTATTCCACACTTGCTGGGTAGCTGCCAGCTGCACAGAACTGAGGGTAGGGAAGTAAAGTACAAGGCCTATCTTCTAGAACAGCGGTTCTTAACCTTCCTAATGCTACGGCCCTTTAATACAGTTCCTGTGGGTCACGACCCACAGGTTGAGAACTGCTGTTCTAGAAGTCAAGAAAGTGACAGCGCAGGTAAGAGGTACAGATGGCAGTTCCGAGGCAGGCAGATTCTAGGACTGCCTAGGTTAGGTTTGAATCCTGGCTCATTGTTCAGTAGCTGTTTGACTTTGAGCCAGTTAATTAATCTCTCTGTGCCTCAGTTTCCGCCTCTTTGAGCTGAGGACAAGAGCATTTGCCCCTATTGTTAGGAGGTTTAAATTTGCAAACTGCTAGGGCAGTGCCTGTAGCTCAGTCAGTAGGGCACCCACTCCATATACCTAGGATGGCAGGTTTGAACCCAGCCCCAGCCAGATAAAACAGCAATGAGAATTTGCAACAAAAAAATAGCCAGGCG